AAATAGTTGACGGGCTGAGAAGTGCAGATTGGTGGTTACAGAATAGTCATGGGGATATACGGCACAGCACAGAGAATACAGTCAACAGTATTGTAATAACAGTGTGTTGTCGCGTGGGTGCTAGGTTTCCTGGGGGGTCACTTTAAGATACATAAATATAATCACTATGTTGTACACCTGAAACTGATATAATATTGTGTGTCAACTGGTACCAAACAATAAACAAATGAAAATAATCATGCGTTTCATGCAGGGCGTGTTCCCTCAGGTTGCAGTCACAGGCTGTGCTTCGTTTGAGACGCACCCCCGGTGGAGAGGGGAGCAGCTGTCTCTGCACCCAGGGAAGAGGCCTGTGGCGAGGGAATCTGTCCTGGGTCTTACTGAACAACCAAGGGACAGCACACAGCCCCAGCAAGTGGCATCACACGCCTCCCCTCTGTTCTACTCCCTGTGTGCCCCAGGGTTAGAGGAGAGAGGAACGGAGGTCGATCCGCTGAGAGGGGGGAGCGCTGGGAGCTGAAGTGGAGGCAGGCTCCCCAGTCCCCTGTCATTCCAGTGCAGGAGGGGAGAGTGCGACGCTGGCCCTGGTAGCAGGTCGTGGCTCAGACACGGGCATCCTTTAGCTGGAGAAATGCAGATCAAACAAAAGGTTTTTCCAGCAGCATCTAAAAATCAAGAAATGATTTGAGTTATCAGAATGAATTGAAGAAGTTAAGCTATATCTTATGTCACTTACTAAGCAGTTTTATAGTAATTGTAACAATGTAAAAGAAAAATATTTTAAAATTGGCATTTATATTGATTTATATAATAATTTATACTTCTGTTAAGAGTATTTTAAAAATTATGCCCTGACCCGCGTGGCTAGTTGCTTGGGCATTGTCCCGCAAAGCAGAAGGTCACCAGTTCAATCCCCAGTCTGGGCACATGCCCGGGTTGCAGGGTTGGTCCCTGGACAGGGCATGTTTGAGAGGCAACCACTCGATGTTCCTCTCTCACATGGATGTTTCTCTCTCTCCCTTCCCCTCTCTCTAAAAATAAATAAAGTCTAAAAGAAAACAAACTTTGGCAGTTGTCCCGAGGGCATTGATGGTGCAGAGCAGAGTTGTTAGGGGGTTCCTGGAGTGAGAGAGGGAGGGAGGGGACGTGCTGCTTTGGTAGTCAGAGAGTCATCCCTGGGGGATCGAGGAGATTTCCAGATTGCTCTGAACTCCCGCACTCAGTTGTGTTTGCTTTTCATAGATAAGATTGACTCGGTGAGGCGACGTGGAAGGAGAGGCTTTGCGCTCAGACAGGCCCAGACTGTGAGGTTTGCTCTGATGGGCTTCAGTCTGTGACCTCGGAACAAAGCACACAGCCTGCGTGAGTGTCAGCTTTCCTCCCTGTGAAATGGGAACAGTACTAGCTGCCTCATGGGTGGTTCTGAAAATTAAATACAGTATGATTGTGGAAAGTATTTCTTACTTTGGCATATAGATGTTTACAAATGTTTGCTTTCTTCCCTTCTGGGCTTCAGTGGAATTATTAACCTGTGTGCTCAATTCTATTTTCATCTGGGAAAAATACTCGTTAATACTGATTTGCTCAACGTACAATCTTTAGTGCTAAAGTAGAAGCCCAGCTCAGGTAGACAACATCCAAGTCAGGAAAAATATGTTAGTGGACTTGAATTTAGTTTTGCTATTGGTAGTATAACTTCCATAACTCACAAGACTAAGGCTTATAGATAGACTTATTTTCAGTGTTCAGTTTAAATAATTGATAATAGATTTTTGGTAGAGTAGCCTATGAATCAAACCTAGGTGTTACTTTACTTTAACGTTTCATGGCCTGGTAAAGTTAACTTTTGAAAAATGCCAGGTGGTAGTTTTACAAATTCTTATAAATGCAGTTTTTAAAAATTGAGATAATTTATGTAACATAAAATTAACCCTTTTGAATTATATAATTCAGTGTTTTTTGGTATAATTGCAAGGTTGTTATCCTTGACATCCAGCCGTCACCACTACCTTTTTTCACCCCCAGATAACTCCCTTCTCCATTTAGTAGTCACTCCTTATTTCCCTCCCTGAACCCTAACACCCCTAACCCTAAGCAACCCCTAACCTGTTTTCTGTCTCCATGGAGCTCCCTATTCTGGATCACGTCACGTAGATAGAATCGTGTAATGCGGCCTTCTGTGCCTGGCTTCTTTCACTCAGCATAACGTTGTCAGTGCTCACCTATGTCATAGCGTGTATCGATGTTTGATTCCTTTTTACTGCAGAATACTGTTCCATTGTACGTCTGGGCTGCATTTGGGTTATCTGTGCATCAGTTGATGGGCATTTGGGTTGTTTCCGCTCTTTGGCTCTAGTGAAGAACGCTGCTGTGGGCGAACGTTCGCCTGTGTGTCCATGTGAACACACGGGTTCACTGTTCTCTGGTTCCCTCCTGGGAGTGGACTTGCTGGGGCAGATGGCGAATGGTTGTTTAAAACACTGACAGCCTGGAACGAAGGTGGAGACATGAAATTCAAATTTACAATGAAACCTCTTGTCTGTTCACTTTTATGTATGGATTTTGATGGAGGTTTGGACTGGATGTGTATTGCTTAAATATAAGAATAAATAAAAGTAATCGGGAGCTTTTTTTTTAAAGATTTTATTTATTTATTTTTAGAGAGGGAAGGGAGGGAGAAAGAGAGAGAAACATCAATGTGCGGTTGCTGGGGGCCGTGGCCTGCAACCCAGGCATGTGCCCTGACTGGGAATTGAACCTGCAATGCTTTGGTTCGCAGCCTGTGCTCAATCCACTGAGCTATGCCAGCCAGGGTGTAATCAGGAGCTTTTAATTGAGTTTCCTTATATATGTTCTAAGAGAAGAGCAAGGAGAAAAATAACGAATTACATAAAAGCAACCTACAAGCTTGTCTCTTACTGGCAGCTGTTTCTGTAAATAATCTAACTGGATGTAATCCAAGGCAGAAGCAGAAGGGGAAGGCATTGTTGGATGGGATATGGCAGTAGGCTGACATTTTTCACCTTGGGGACTATTCACTGAAAATTGCGGATGTCCTTTTCATCAAGTTGAAACATAACTTGTTTAAACATCCTTTTACCTAGATATGACCAAAACTGCTTTTCAGTGTTCGGGGCCAGATGTCCTTGAACTGTCTCTATGGCATATCATGAAGCCAGTTACAATGGAGTAGAAATGGCCACCTCCTCTCCGAAGTAACTTTAATCAAACAGGTCCCAAGGACAACTTAAAAACTGACTTTAGATGTGTTGAGAATGTACTGTTTGGTAGCCACCCACATTAACAGAGACTGACAGCACCGATGAAATTCGAGGCCTCAGGTTCCATATCCTCTTTCTTCCCCTCTATGAAACAAGTCAGCTGACTCGCTGATTCTGAATGTCATCAGTTTGAACTTGAATCTTGTAAGAGTATTTCTTTTGTAGTGGATTACAATGAGATAGTTCTGAACATCTGAATACCAAATTTTAAAGTATTTTTGTCAAAACACTTTGAGTTTAATAAAATTGGGAGAAACAGGGAGAGATGATTATAAGCAATTTACCCAACACTCGAGTCTTCTCTGTATATGAGGAGATGTCTTCGGGGATGGGAATGCCCTCAAAAGTTCTAGGTGCGAAACAGTGATCATGCAAAGCCCACTGAAACGTAGTTGAAGTGTACGCTTTACAGACTGGGTGTGGAGAAATGAGTGCTGCCCTAATTGGGGTTTATCAGAGTACTTAAACTCTGTGTACTGGTAGAAGAGGATTTGCGGGAGGTCACCACAGGCACAGAATAGCATGGAATCATGGATGTGTATAGCACGAGAAACTACAGAACAAAGTTAAATAAAGCTTGGAGAAAGCTGGGAAGCTGCCCCCAAGGAGATACCAAGTGCTGCTCACTAGCTTGAGCTGCTGGCCACCCCCTGCCGAGAAGGCCACTGGGGCGGGGTGCGCACACCAGGGCCTGGACAAAGCCTTCTCCTCCTCAGCTGGCCTGCCTGTGCCCTCCAGGTGCCGTGACAAAGTGTGGTGTCATGCCAGCTGTCAGAAGAAGGATGTCTTAGGTTCCTCCTCCGTTACCAAAATAATGGAGCAGAGTGACAATAAGTTGACAAGTGGCACATCTGTGACTGGTTTTTCTTCTTCCTGTCATTGTATTTTTCCAGTTTATGCTTTAACAACTGTAATAATGAACACCCTTGTACGTACCCGTGCTCATATCTTGCTTAGCTTGTTTATGAGAGCTAAGCATCCTAGAGCACATTTAGAGATACAGTGGCTGTTCGCTTTTGTACGCATGAAGTATTTCCGGAAGGAAGTGCGAAATATAGATTGTCTTTAGGGAAGGGAACTGGCAATCATCTGTTCATAAAACTAAAATGTTTCTATTATAAATACAAAAGACACTATCCATCTTGTTAAACTCAACTTCATTGTTTCTCAGCATGTTGAGGTTTATGAGAGGTGTCCTTTTCCGTCATGTCTTGTTCTGTAGCTGAAGGCGTCTGTTTTCTGGCCTTTAACATCGTTTGCTGCTCAGAATGAGTCAGGATATTTTCATTCAGTTGTTTCCTCTCATTGCTGTATAATCTATAAAAATAATCTGTGCAGTTCTATTAAAGCCTATCGGAATTTTTATAAAGCCCTTTATTAAATTCTTAGATTTTTTTCCTAAGAATCTTTGACATTTCCCTGTAGGAGAGTGGATTTTTAAGACTAACGGCATGGAAGAAGAAATCGAATACATTTGTATCGGAGCTGTCTGTGTATGGTTGGGTCACGGACGTGGTTGCTCTGTTCAGCGCTGGTCCCCGCCGTTCACTCCCGGTGATGCTGGGTTTCCCGCGTGTTGGATGTAGGGCTCGTGAGCGCACGTTGCAGTCGGCATCCGCTGAGCCTTTGTGCAGCTGGGTGATGCTCCATTTGAAGTTTTTTATTATGACTTGTTATGTGATGCTTGTTTCTTAGTGATTTTCTTGGTTGGTTTTTCAGGACTACAGGAATACGTGGAAGCCGTCTCTTTTCAACACTTCATCAAAACACGATCACTTATCAGCATGGATGAAATTAATAAACAATTGATATTTACAACAGAAGACAGTGGGAAAGAAAATAAGACTGTAAGAGTTTAAAACCTTATTACATCACATTGATTACATCATTTATATGACGTGCAGTGCACTGGTGGTAGGAGTATTGAGATGGGAATGTTCTTCCTAGCACGCACTTTCATAGATCCCCAATTAGGGAAGCGGCCCTTTTGAAAACTTTAGGCAGTGGATAGGACAAGCACAGCTGTGGGTGTGTTGAGAGAGAATAACACTCCTCCCCAAAGCATCGTTGAGTGATGACTGCAGGTTCACTTCCGGTTCCACTGTGTGTTCGCTGTATGCCCTTCATGAGCGCTGTCGCATTTCGTCCTCTTACTAACCCAGGTGAGAATGATCACCCCCACTTTACAAGGAAGGAAACAGGGTTTTAGGGAGTTTGAGTAACTTACCAAAAGTCACACAGCTAATAAGGGTGACAGCTGAGCTTTGACGCCAGGTGTCCTAAATCCAAACCAGTGCCCTGTCCACTGTGCCGGTGTCTGTCCGTGTGCACCACGGGGCGGGGCCCGGTGTCCGCCTCACGGGGTGTGTGAGGGGTTTGATCGAAACGTTTTAAATGAGGCCCTGGGTAGCACACGGCAGGTTGTCGTTACAAAGGCTCACGTAAAGGTGTTACATAATGAGAGCTGTCAGTCACTCAGTTCTCGATGCTTGTGTCTGACAGGTATACAGCTTTTCCGAACTAGGAAAAGAGAGTTTTGCAGTTTGACTTTTACATAAATACTATTTTCTCCTGGGTTTCAAGAGACAATATTTAGGCAATGAGGTGAGATTTTGAATATTTGGTATTTCCTGAGTTACCAGTATACTTAAAGATAAAATTAAAGGGTTTTTTTTCTTTATTTTTCATCTTTTTTTTGTTTTATTATTTCAGAATTATTCAGAGTCAGGGTAGGGAGGCAGAAAATGGAAGAAGCTGTAGAAGCAGTGTGTTCTTGGATATTAACTAAAATGTTAATGTTGAAAAGTGAGGCTTAATTTGGCGTGACAGACATAGGAAGTTATTATGTATTTTCTCAATTTTTAAAATTATATGAAGTTTATTAAGGAGGCAATTCATTTTGGGAAGTACAATTTCTTCATTGTTTTGATTCCTTTAGCGAAGTTCGCACAACTTCCTCCGAAGTTCTAGCTCGGAGTGGAAGTAGCAGGGCGGACAGTGGAGAGGGACCGGGAGTGGACGCACTGTTTGCAGGGTTCAGGTAGTGGCCACTCTGAGAGTATGGTGTTGTAACATTCGGACACACTTTCCAAATTGTCAAGACCACAGTTATCAGTAATTTTTCCTTTTAGTGCTAAAGATTCTTGGTGCTAAAAATCCTGGGAATTTGGTAGACAAAGGTATTTTGCTCTGATGTGCCTGTTGAGAATATTGGAAACCATTTAATTTTTTACAGCTTTATTATGAAAAATTTCAAACATGCCAGAAAAGCAGAGAAAACAGTAACACATGAACCCCCGTATACCAGCTACCTGGGTTCAATTGTTGTCAACATTTTGCCGTATTTACTTCATCTAAATATTTTTTGCAAAGCTACTTTAATTATAGATGTGATGATATTTGACCCTTAAATGCTTCAGATCCATCTTGAAAATCTGTGTTTTAAGTAGTTTTCTTTTTCCTAGTTTTCATTATCAATCAGTAAAGCAGAATTGGTTTCTTTGACATTTGTTGAAATTTGTTAATTTTTTAACAAGCTTTTATCTCCAAAATCAACTTCTTAGTTATGACCAGGGAATTCCTTCTGTCTAATGATAGAGATAAGGACATTAATATTTTAAGCAAAACTTATTTTTATAAATGACCTATGAAATGCAACCCTCTTTTCCTTACTACAGTCTGTGTACTCTTTCTAAGAAGATGCCAGTTCCCTGGCCGGTAGCTCAGTTGGTTAGAACGTTTTCCTGTTATACCAAGGTTGCAGGTTCAATCCCTGGTCAGGGCACATACGAGACTCAACCAATGAATGCATAAATAAGTGGAACAAATAATTGATGTTTCTCTCTCTCTCAAATCAATTAAAAAAAAAAGATACCAGTTCTCTTACCTGTTCACAGAAGCAGAGCAGAGCAGATGGTTTATGTCATGATGTACCAGCATAGTTGGGAAGCTGGCTCTGGGTGCTTGTCCAGTTCTGTCATTAACCAGCTGTATTACCTCTGGTGTATCGAACCCCATCTCTTACACTTTACATTCAGAGGACTGGACCACATGGTGTCTGAAGAGTAATCCAGCAATACTGAGTGATCATAATAACAGCTAAATTTGACTCATTTCCTTGCTTAATTCTCAGTGACACTATTATCTATAAAGTTCAAGTTCCTAATGTCACTTTATACTCCTGTCTATCTTTCTAGGTTCATCCTGCACTAATTCTTATTTTAAACTTTACTTGAAAGAAATACCTTGCAAGTTTCTTAACCCTACAACCCAGTTCTTACCTGCATGCTTTTGCAGCTAGGTCCCTCTGCCTAAAACAGCCTCCAGTGTGGCTGCACCCACACCTAAGACTCATACAGCTTCTTAGTAACAAGTTAAGCATTGCCTCTTCCAGAAAGAATCCAATATAGAGGGAGAAACTGATGTGGAGAGGGATTTACATGATAGTGGTAATGGTAATTGACAGCAGCTGACATTTATTGGTATTGACTTTGTGTTGGGCATGATGCCAAGAACTTGGTAAATGTTATCCTTGAAATAAACCTCTGAGGTAGGTACTGTTATCCCATTTTACAGATGAGGAAACTGAGGTTTAGAGAGATGAAATAACTTGCCCAAGGGCATACACCTTATGAAGCAAGGTCCTGGAAGAGGTGGGAGGAGATGGGTCAAGGTCATTTGGAAGAGTTAACCTCAAACAAGAGGAGGGACAACTCATCATCTGAGACTGGAGGATAGAAGGTAAAGATGGATGTGGACATAAATAAGTTTGTTTGTTATTGGGGTTTTTTTTTGTAGGCATAAATTGAGAGAGCGTGTAGTACGTGATCTGGCAGATGACCAGGCTGTGGAAAGTAGGCAGGATTGTCTGCTGAGAGTGAAGAGGCTTGGGATTGAGTAGGGGGCTGAGGAGAGTAAGGAAGGTTTGGAATAGTGTTTAAGGAGATGGGAGAGAGAACCATCTAAGAATAAGTAAAAGGACTGGTGAATAATTTGTGGCACAAATTGTATGCAGACGTAACTTTTGTATTTTCAGTGTAATGGGACTCAACCACTTGAATAAAAGACTAACAAAAATAGGGCGTAATATTAATTCAGGCTTGTGCTTTTGCTGGATGCAGTAGGAAAACAGGGGTCTGTAGGAACTGCAGAGGATGCAGCCAGAGAGGGAGCAATAAATGAGGATGGTCAGTGCTGCGCTAGGGATGGAAGGGACCGCAGGGCTCAGGAAGACAGGGAGTGATCACAGACTTGGCGGGCTTTGAGATTTGTCTTTCAAATAAGTAAGGAATTGTCATGCAATAAAGCACTTGGGCCTTGTCTAAGAATGTGTTAATTTTATTGTGTGTGTCAAGTGAAGTAGGCAGTAGTCGATTTTATAATGATACAGTGTTAGATTTCAGAATAGTCTTGAACTCCTGTAATTCAGCTCCCTGCCCAAGGCATGAATTCCTCTTGTAACGTCACAGATGGTCAGTAAACAAAATAGATCATTTCTTAGAGATGAGGTGGCTGATCTGCTGTTGATTTTGTACCTTCTAGTAAATGTGATAGATGTGTGTTCACTCCTTTTCACGGTATAATTTTGTGTGTGTGTGTTGTTGTCGTTGTTTCGCCAGCCCTCGTCCGATGCCCTGGAGAAGCAGTTTGATTCCTGGAGACTGAGGATCACGCCCGTGGACTACCTGCTGGGCGTGGCCGACCTCACGGGGGAGCTCATGCGGATGTGCATCAACAGCGTGGGCAACGGGGACATCGACACCCCCTTCGAAGTCAGCCAGTTCCTGCGGCAGGTTTACGACGGCTTCTCCTTCATCGGCAACACTGGGCCTTACGAGGTTTCTAAGAAACTGTACACCTTGAAGCAGAGTCTGGCCAAGGTGGAGAATGCTTGCTATGCTTTGAAAGTCAGAGGTTCAGAAATTCCCAAACATATGCTGGCAGATGTCTTTTCAGTGAAGACAGAAATGATTGATCAAGAAGAGGGCATTTCCTAGAGTGACGCGACTCAGTGATTATCTCCTAGGGGAGGCCAGTTTGTAAGACTGTTATTTAGTATTGCATTTGACTTTATTGTGGCTTTTACATAGAAAAGTTTTAGTTTTTCTTGTTTTAGATTATATACAAGTTGTACATAAAATGACTGAAATGAATCATTTTCTATATCTTATGAAAGTTGGCATACAGATATTTGCATATATGCCCATTTGAGTTTTTGCTGGCTAAATTTCATCACTTACCTTTGTGATGTGAACACGCTTCAGAGCACTTTCTGCCATACCTGGTTTAATACACTTCGTGTGAGTTGTTGAGTGGTAATAGGTAGTGGAAGCCATTTGGAATTTAAGTTGGTGGTTTCGTTATGTGTGAAAAGATTTCTTAGTTACACATCTGCACTTCAGCTTTTTGTTTCAATTTCTTGGTACTATTGTGTCAAGCCTCCAAAATAGGCTTAGTCCATAGAGCAGAATTAAAAATTACTAAGTTATCAATATACTTGAATTTTATGTGGCATTATGGTAAAAGTTCGCATTATAATCTGGCTCATTTGGGCCATTTTCAGTCTGTTGGAAACAGCCTTCCAGAAAAGTTGGCAGAGATCCAGCTGTCAGTTTCTGCGTGTAGCTTTTGTTCTTTATCACAGGGAATTTGAGCTGGTATAGTAGTATTTCCACTGCTGTTTGAATTATATACGTGTACATAACTAAAAAGCTTTCAGTAATGATTATTTAGCAACTTTTTTGTTGTGTTATAGTAACATCAGGCATGTTTAGAGACTTTCCTATTCTAGCATCTATAAGAGATGACATTTAAGTAATTTTAATGAAGTTTTGAAATTTTTGAAATACTAAATTAATGCAAACCTTTATAGTTGTCCAGTTGTATTCGTTGATAGTATAAAAAGTTGCCAAAGAAAATTTATCCTGTACAATTCAGCAATAAGACGACGCCCACGCGGCTGGGGACCCAGCGGTGGTTTCTGGTCAGGTTGGGGGGGGGGGGCGCGGGGGGGCGCCGGCGGAAGTCAGTCCCAGCTCCTCCCCTACGGTGCGAGCAGACCTTTCCGTCTGGTTTCGTGAGCTTTGAGAAGTCGGATACTGGGTTTTAGTTTTGGAAATATTAGTTGCTCTGTTTTTAAGAGCTAATTCTTTGAAAGTGTAATTTCCCCAAAAAAATTACCTGGAGGAAAAAAAATGGGCATGCCTAATAAAGCGGTTGCTTGTTTGCTCGTGTGGGTGGTGGTGAGTTTCTTCGGTTTCCCCGCTCAAAGATATATTGCCGAAATGCAGTCTCACCACCTGTTTCTGTGTTCTCTGCCACTTGGAGTTAAATTTATGTTAAAAGGAAGGTCACACACTGGCACCACCTGTTCAGATCCCTAAGTCTGAAATCACAATTGCAGTGTTTTTTAAATTGCACTCAGTATGTGCTGTGTGTATACACGCAAGCCCTTTTCACCCAGTGCACGCACAGGGTGGTAGCTTCTGGAATATAAAAATACATGTTAGAGAAATATATATTATCTACCTTATATATATTAAAAATATATATATATATTAAATATATATATTTATATATAAATTATATATATAATATATATTTATATATATTATATATATTTATATATTTATATATTATATTATATAATATATATAATATATATTATATATATAAAATATATATATTAATATATATATTAAATATATATATATATTAAAAATTCCGTGAAAAACAACAAAAAAAGTAAAATGATAATGGGTTGATGACTATCTTACAGAGGCCTAAAACTGAAGTCTTTGAATAAAATGTTAAAACAAACTTACTCTTATTTTTTTATTGAGAAATACTTAATCAAACTGATGTGTAATTTTTGGCCCAATCAGGAAATCTAATGTAATAGGAAGATTCATTATTTCTTAAGAGAGGTCCAGAGGTTGAGAGAGTTTTAGGAAAGACATTTCTTCACGTCTCATTCACCCACACTGGTCACGTTCCCATCTCTCTAAAGCCATCGTCAGTGGAAAGGAGGATTACTTGACCTTGCCTGACCATGGTGCACTTCATCCGAGAGAAGGGCGGACACTGGAAACCAGATCAGTGTCTCCTACACAGCGGAGGGGGACGTGGCCCGTGAGCAGGCAGTTAACCGTACCTACTGCAGGTAGGGGCCAGTGCTGTCGGCACATGTCCACAGTGTGTGGTAACTAGTGCCGTGGGTGTTAGTCACAGCAGGAGGGTACAGGGTCCCTACGTATACCCCACGTGTCTCCCAGTTTTACAGTGGTGGCTCTGATGGCATCATCTGTTCTGCTTTTTATCTTTATCATAACACGAAACTGGTTCTAGGTCACATGTCAAGTTGCTGACAGAATTCTGAAATAAAATTCAGTTATTTCCTTCATAAGTAATTCCTGCATGTATTAGATTAGTGGTTTTTCAAAGTACACATTGCAGAGCCTTACGGCTTTTTGAAGATGCGTCAAAGAAAGATGCTATTTAAATAAGATGGGCAAAATGGATTTAAAAACTTGGTCCAGAGTCTTTGCTGTTTACAAAAGACTTCACTTTAGATTCAAAGACACAAGTACATGAAAAGAATGGGAAAAAGATACTTCATGCAAACAGTAACCAAAAGAAAGCTACACACAGGGGTGTCCAACCTTTTGGCATCTCTGGGCCACACTGGAAGGAGGAAAATTGTCTTGGGCCACACTTCCATACATCGAGACATGTAATTACCAAAAAATCTCATCATGTTTTAAGTAAACTTAAGATGTCGTGTTGGGCTGCATTCACAGCCATCCTGGGCCATGGGTAGGACACTCCTGCTAGATCAATATACTTTAAAACTAACTTTTTTTTTTTTGGCTTGAGACAAAGATGAAAGGTTTGTAATGGTAGAAGATTTGTCCTTTGATGAGAATATATTGTATATGTGTTTGTGTTAACAATAGAGCCCCAAAATACGTGAAGCAAATTTTACAGAATTGAAGGGAGAAATGGACAATCTGTTAGAGTTGGAGACCTCAGTACCTCAGTTCCAATAATGGACGGAAGAACAAGACAGATTAGTAAGGGAACAGAGGGCTTGAACAACAGTGTAGAGCAATTGGATCTAACATACATACCTAGAACATTCCACCCAATACCAGAACCCACACTCTTCTCAAGAGCACTTGGGACGTGATCCACAAAATGTCAGGCCATGAAACAACTTGCAGTACATTTTAAAAGATTGAAATCCTACCAAGTGTGTTCTCTGACCACAAATGGAATGATATTAGAAATTAATAACAAATAAATTGGCAAATTCACAAATATATGGAAATTCACAACATACTCCTAAATAACCAGTGGGTCAAAGATGAAATCACAGGGAAATTAGAAAATACTTTGAGAGGAGGGAAAAAGACAATGTATGACTTAAGGGGGTGCAAGGAAAGCAGATCTCTGAGGGGACTTTATAGCTTTAAAAAGAGTTATTTCAAATTAATAACCTAAACTTCCACCTTAAGAAACTAGTAAAATAGCAAACTAAACCACAAAGCAAGCATAAGACAGGAAGTCATGAAGATTAGAGCAGAAATAAATGAAGTAGAGAATAGCAAAATGATAGAGAATAGCAGACCAAAGTTTTGTTTTTTTTTTCCTGAAAAGACCAAAATTAACAAACCTTTGGCTAAACTGACCAAAAAAAAATAATAATTGGCTGCAATTGCTAAGCTACGTAATGGATCAGGTGACATTGTACCAACCCAGCAGAAATAGAAAGTTTTTAAAGAACAGTATGAACAGTTGTGTTCAAGCAGTAACAAATTACAGAACCTAAATGAAATGGATAAATTCCTTGGAACTCATACTACTAACACTGAATCAAAACATTGAAAATCTAAGTAGAACTTTATCAGAGAGATTAAGTTACTAATCAAAAAAGTCTAATGAAGAAAAGCCCAGGACCAGATGGCTACACTGTTGGATTCTACCAATCATTTAAAGGATTAATACCAGTCTTCCCCCGCCTCCCTAAAAAACATTGCATTACTTCCGTAAATCAATTAAAAAAAAAGAGGGAGTACTTCCTAACTCATTCTTGGTGGCTACAATTAGGCTCATACCTAAGCCACCGAAAGAAAACGAGATCAGTATCCGTTGTGAATATAGATGCAAAAATTAAGTCACTTACACAAACGATCGCACACTGGGACCAACCTGCATCTTATGTCAGGAAAGCACGTCTGGTTCAACATGAATAGCAGTCAACGTCATACATCACATTAATAACACAGAGAAGGAAAAACATGGTTCGTCTCAACAGAAGCAAGTCATTTGACAAAAGCCAACACCTTTTCATGATACAAACATTCAACTAACTTGGAATGGAAGGGAAATTTCTTGTGCTGATGAAGGGCATCCAAAAAACAACTAATAACCTTATTTGATGGTGAAAGAGCTGAAAGCTTTTCCTCAAAGACAGAGAACAAGGGGGGTAATGTGAGCTTATGTATAGGAAACCTCCAAGAATCCTCAGAAAAGAAATTATAACTAGTAAGTGAGTCCAGCAAGGTTGCAGGATACAAGAAAATTATACAAAATCACTTGTGTTTCTATACACCAGCCATGGAAAGTCTGAAAAGACAATTCCATTTAAATAGCATTAGAAAGGATAATGTATGGGAATACATTTACCTCAACAAATGCAAATTGTACACTAAAGGCCAAAAGCATTGCAGAAGCAATTAAGACCTAAATAAAAAGGCACCCAGTTCTCATGGAATGGAAAATAAAATATTGCCAAGATAACAATATTCTGAAAATTGATTTACGGAAGTAATGCAGTCTGTCTAAATCGCAACTTTGTTTTTCAAAGTCGGATGTTCTGATCCTGAAATTCACTTGAAAAGTCAAAGGACACAGAACAGACGGTACAGTCCTTGACACAGAGCACCGCTGGGGGACTCATGTCCTGAGTTCGAATGTGATGCTGAAGCAGCAGTAATCGAAGGGTGGGACTGGCATAAGGATCAATATATAGACTAGCCCAATCCAATAGAAATTCTACAAAGAAACCCATGTATACCGATACATGGTCAAATGATTTGTGATGAAGGTGCCAGGACCAGTCACGTAAAAAAGGCCACATTTCATTGATACCAAGTATCCAGAGCTGGGGCAGGTGGGGGAGTGACGACAACAAGAGTTGAGTTTATTGTTGAGTGATGGAAATGATCTGGAATTAATAGCAATAGTTGTGCACCCGTGTGAAGATACTGGGTTGGCCAGAAAGTCTGCGTGGTTTTTTTATTTTTCCATAAAATAAAAGTCACTTTTTTATTTTCAATAACAACTTTATTGATTTGGATATTTTGTGTATGTCAGCTATCTCCTGCATGGTATGAAGTTGATTGTTCTTAATGTCTTGATTTGGTTACTGTCAACTTCTGGCCCACCCAGCCGCGGAGCATGGAACAGTGAGGAATCTCCAGCACGAGATTGGCAAACCACTTTGGACACTTTTGCTCAGTCATAGTACCTTCTCCATACACTAGAAAAATCTCTGCGCTTCAGTAGTATTTGTATCTTTCTTGAAATAATAAAGCATACCATGCCCAAAATGCGTGTTTTCTTCCATCTTCAATATTAAAATGGCTACACAAAAATTTACCGATCTTGATTTTTCATTAATGCACACTGATAGGACAGTTGTCACAGTACAATCTGACGAAATTGTTTCAGATGAAGTTAAAGACAACTAAACACTACTACAGCCATCTTATGGAAAAAAACGAAAACTTTTTGGCCAACCCAATGCTAAAAACCACTATTTTTTACACTGTAAGATGGTGAACTTTGTTATGGGAATTGTATCTGTATAATAAATTTTTCATACTGTTTTCAAAAGTGGATTGATTTGCCCTGACTGGTGTGGCTCAGTGGGCAGTCGTTCCACCAAGGGAAGGTTTGCCTGGTATGATTCCAGGTCGGGGCGTGTACCTGGGTTGCGGGTTCTGTCCCCCATCAGGGTACCTGGGAGAGGCAGTTTCTCTCTCACATTGGTGTTTCCCTCCCTCCGCTTCTCTCTAAAAATAAATAAAACCTTTTAAAAAGTGGATTGATTTGTTTCATGAAATTTTGCTAGAAATTGACTGTGAAACCATGTGGGCCTGGTATTTTGCTTGGGGGAATTTTTTTTTTAAACTCTGTGCAGTTTCTTTAATTGTGTAGGGCTATTCAA